TAGTAGAGCCAGGAATGTTGCAACACATCTCAGGTATTGTTCCAAGGGTCGGACGGGAACTCCCGCTGTTCTGAAATAAGGTGCATTATATTCATTCTTTTTATTTTTTTGTGTGTGTCGCGGATACAAGGTAGACTGAGCCATACTTGTTAAGCTGCAGGGGTTAAGTAGAGAGTTATTCAGGTGCAGGGAATAGGCACAGACAGATAATTCTGGGAACACGTTCTTTTTATTATTATTATTATTTTCGGACATGCCAAGTGTAAATTAAGGATTGTTGCCAGTTGGTGGAACGTTCGAATGTGAATGGGAAGTTACGACTGTGAACTTGTGACCAGGGGTTTTTTGATGTTGTCATTCCCTTCTGTGTTTGCTCAGATGTAGATGTTCTCATGTCACTTTATAATGGATGGGTGGGAGTGCATGGAAGGAGCGGTGCATATTAAATCAGTTGCTTTTATTGTTATTATAATTATCCAGAATTTGGTGAATTTATTCGATAGAGGTTCAAGCATTTTGATCTTTGTACAAAGAATACCCCGGAACTAAATCTGTAATTTTTTGTGGAGTAACTGCGTCTGATTTTTAATAAGATAACTGTTTTCAATTATATATAGCTACATTTTACCCAAAGTTTATTTAATTCTTTTTTCTGAAGGGTGGGGGGGGGGGGGGGGGGAGCAGTGCATGCAACATTTTCTCTATAGCCGTAATGTTATGAATATCATGGGTTTAAGGTATCCGACTACGTTCGGAACCGTGATTTTGCAAAAGCGTATAAATGGATAATATTTTTGATATTTAGTGTCACTTAGAGATTAGAAATGTATATAAAATTGTTTTAAGAATAGTATTACAATAAAAAATTATTTAAGTACAATATTTTGACAAAAAAGGAACATAGAATGACCCATTTTCAAAATATTCTCCTTTTGTGAAAAATGCTTTTATTATAATAATATTTCGCCTGTATATAGCTCAGACCTCTGTACAGAGGCTCAACTAGAATTTTTGAAATATATCACTTAGAAGTGAGTTTATCCATGTTTTACGACAACAGAGAGGAGAAATTTTAAGAAAAAGAACACCGATAATTATTTCAATTGGTGGTAACTCTAAAAATAATGTGAATTTTTCAAAAATCACAGTTGAGCCTCTGTACAGAGGTCTGAGCTATATACAGGCAAAATATTATTATAATAGAAGCATTTTTCACGAAAGGAGAATATTTTGAAAAAAGGTTATTCTAAGTTAATTTTTTGCCGAAATACTGTATTTAAATAATATTTTTTTGTCAAAATGTCCTCAAAACAATTTTATACATGTGTTCTAATAAACTAAATATCATGAAAGTTATCCATTTATGCGCTTTTTTAAAATCATGGTTCCGAACGTAGTCGGATACCTTATGAAACATTTTTTTAAAAAAATTAACTGGTAGTACAGTCACCAATTTTTTATGTACATTCATTGTATTAATATTGTTATTTACTAAGAGCATTTTTTTTTCTTTTGAAAAATGTTAATCAATTTTGTGTATATCGTTATTTTAATACAAATTACATTATCCTTTTTTAATCAACTACCTTATTATTTTCCCCATTATGGTAATGTTAATATTTTATATCAAAACCTACAATCTACTGATTAAACATTTCACGTACTTAGTAGCATTTTGTACATTTAATTGAGTAGAATATATCTTCGATGAAAACCTAGTAATTTTCTTAAAAGCGCATGAAGATGCATGTTGATATTAAAATTCTTGTAATAACGTATTCTAACTCCTTGACATATTTTAACCCCGATTTAATTTAAATAATTTTCATATGAATATACGATTTGTATTATTTTCTAAATATTTATTCCGCAATTTTAACTAGTTCTGATTCTACTTCTTGTAAAATAAAGAAATTATTTCAGTTTCTGCTTGGTTGAAATTTTCTCTACTTTACCTCAGGTTACGTGGCAATTTCATTATGATAAATGTATGCCTATTACATCAAGACCAATTTCATTATTTTGATCTACATTATATAACATTATTATAATGAGTAATGCTCATCTTTTAAGATGAAGTATTAATGAATAATTATTATTCGATTTTGAATGTGTAAAAATATATTAAACGTTTGGAGATGGGTATAAAAATATAATTATTCCTTATTTATATATAAAAATAATATATTTTCTTATTTTACCAAGTCAGAGATAATGAAATGATAATGCTATATTTGTGATAATTAAAAGGATTATTCGAATGCTAACATCCACCGCTGTAGGTCGATATCTGCAGGATATCGATAATAATATATATATTTCCGTTAAAGTGTGAAATACGATGTTGTTGTCGAGTGTTTCATCCTGGGATACATATGAAAGACGAGAAATAGATGAACAGAAACATACAGTACACTATCATAGAAGAATATAGACTTTATTGTACAAACGATGATCCCAGCATAGAAAAAAGGGGTTCCATTCGAGACGGGAATCCATTTCAGGCAAAAGTCCGATTTCTTTACCCGAAGATAAATCCATGCCTTTTTCGGGATTCGAACCCGAGTGTCCTAACCACCATACTGGGTGGGGCAAGGGGAAATCCGTATTTTCATAGAATAACTAGGTATTTCAGGAAATAACTAGAAAAAAGTCTGTTAAAGTATATAAAATTATTGAATTCTATGCTTTAACTAGGTATTCTATGGAATAACGATTATTTGATCTTTAAAGTAAGAAATACGGCTCGCGAAAGTTCTTGGAACCGATTTTAGCTACTTTTAGTCAGTTCTGAACCACTTATAGCAGCTTTGCAATGACGCTTGTGTGTGTGTCCTTCATTCCGTTGCGTTTAAACGTAGAATTTAGGAGGAGTATTTATGTTAGTGTTTCGCATTTTGGGTTATTAACAACTATTTTTGCAACCTGTTTTCAAGCAAAGACTTCTGCAGGAATGAGAGACCAATCTGTAAATAAGAACGATTTAATGCAAGAGAGGTTTGAATAATTATTAAATAAGCGTCGGAAAAAGAAAAATAGAGTGCTGCATTTACTCGTGAAAAATTATTAACTTTGATTGCAGAGGTAAAAATTGCTAAATCAGCACAGAAAAAAGTACCACGTGACTGTTGGTTACTCCAGTATTATGATATCCCTGAAGTATATAAGGAGTAGAAATTTATACAATTGTACCAGTAAAACATGCAAAACATTTTTTTTTCTGTGTTAAAATAATGTTAGCAATATGAGCAATAATAAATTATATCATCTGCTTTTAATTGTTATTTATCAATTAATTATCCGCAATAAGGATAAAATGTATTTTTCGAGAGGTTTTAGCTATTTATGATCAATTAATTTTTTAAATAACCTTGAAATTTTGTATTTTTCACTCTTTAACGGTCTATCATCCGTTATTTCATAGAATAACTAGTTATTTCATTGAATAACTAGGTAAAGTATGAAATATTTTATTTATTATATACTTTAACTGATTTGTGTGTGTCTAGTTATCTCATGAAATACTTAGTTATCTCATGAAATACTTAGTTATTTCATGAAATACTTAGATATTCCATGAAATAACTGAATTATACACTTTAACGGTGACATACATATATAATCATGTACTGCAAATTGCCATAAATCTTAAAAGGCAATAAACAGAAATGTAATAAGACAATATAGGACAGAAATAAGACAGCCTCTCCAGTACAATTCAAACTCTTAGCCTTAGGTCCTAAGATTGTAGAATGAAATATAGTGTTACACATACACATATAATCTGCCTTCCAAAAGACAAAACAAATTACCCACTTATTTTCTGCATCTCCGTACACTTTCCAAACAAAACCATTAAAAGAAATCAAAAACTACTTCCTTTATCAACTATTACTTACTCCCCTTTTCCTTGAATAAACAACCCAAACTAAGAAGAAAAAAAACTGAAAAAAAGAAGTAAAACTTTAAAGGAAACCGATCTTTTCCAATTCATCACTCTGGTGTTTTAAGCACAACCTCTCTCGCTTTTCCACAAGATTTAACTGCCGCAGTAGCAGCAGCAGTGCTTGTCTGCCCGCCGCTGGTCGTTTTGTAAGCCGCAGTTCTGCACTACTGAACCGTGACATTACAAAGTATTTCGGGCGAGCCCTCGCGCGTGACTGCAACAGGCGTGTGCTGGGCGACCACTCGTAAACAGGCGTGTTCCTGCCTTGGTTTGGTGGAGGCAATCATCTTGCTGATGACAGAACCGTCTACTGGCGATCAGTTTTGTATAGGACTTATGATTATAGAGTTCATGGTGACGGTAGGGGGGGATTAAGATGTCTTTTGAATAAAAAAAAATTATTGTGTGTGCGTATCATTATAATAAGTAAAAAAATGAGTAGTGAATAATGAAATGGTCTTACAGACACTTTTGATGAATCGCGCCGGCTGTAAGCTTATAGAAAAAAATAAGTATTTAAGTTTGATTCTTTACTTATTGGAAAGGAAGATAGTGAATATATTTATGATCTTGTCTTAGTTTTGAGTCTATTTGCTGTACATTTTTGTCGAGGGTTTTGTTTATATTTGGGGAAGGCAGCTGTTTTGGCTCGAGGACCGTTTTGTGGGAGTGGAAGATACCACAGGGTCACACTTTTTTTTAAAAATGACTATATTTATTGGTTATCATCTTAGAAAAGGTATAAATTGTACGTTAAAAACAAGTAATATATAAAAAAAATTAAGTCAACTCCTGCTTAGGTCAACAAAGAAAATTTTATTTTAGTTACTTTTTATTAAATAGTTACAATTAATATAAATATGTACATACATGTGACAGAATCACACTATTAAGTGGCAAAATAGAAAGCGATTTTCCTTGCAATTTTCCATTTTCCTTTCTACATATATTGTTGGACTATTATTTTTGTTTGTTACTATTTATTCATTAATTAAATTTAATTTTTTCAATAAAATAATGTTGTAAAAAGAAATCACATTCTCAAGAATTAGGCCATCCCAGGTGAAATTCGAAACGCAAGACCTTTGGATTAGAAGTCCAACGCGCTATCCATTGCGCTACAGGGACACAACGAACCATTTTCATTTTAATGTATGCTGTTGGACCATTACTTTCGTTTCTAACTATTTATTCATTTTTTAATTTAATTAATGAATTAATATTTGAAAAAACTGTATTAACATCCAGTGTCGTCCACTGCAAGTCTTAAAAAATGTATTTGAGCTTGAATGGGTGAATAGAAAGTATTTTATTAACGATTGAAAATTTGAACAAAATGTGTGTCTTTTTTTATTCAATTAACTTCATTATATTAGCAATAAAAAGTGAAATAAATAGTCTGAAGCTGTCACTTGTTTTAAAATAGTTGAGTCATGCATCTCTTTTAAAATTTCTTGTGTAAAAACAACTGTTAAGGACTTAATACTTTTTAAAGATCAATCAGTACCTTTATTATTCGTTAAAATGTTTTCCCTCTGCAATTTCTTTTTAAAGCCTTTATTTCTTGATTACAAGACATTAATATGATAATAAGGTAATTTTACCAAACAATATATATTTGGGTTCTGATGCATAATATATTAAGTATTAAAATTGCAATGAACTTCCGGTCGCTTTGGTGTGAGAGTTTGTGGGCCGTCCGCCGTGTCAGGAGTTCGAGCCTTGTGCAACTGAACACCCACCATGTAGGGCTGATGGACGTTAAATCTGTCAAGGCTCAAACGCCCTCTTGTTGGTGTTGTAGGGAAGTTAGGGTAAGGGGGTGCCAGTTTTGACCATAATTTTGACCATGGTACGAAATTCTGAGGTCCGTCGCCAAAAGCCCTCGTGTAGCTGAATAGGGTGTCGTTGATATTTAATCAACTATGAGGGCTCTTGGAATGAAGAGCCATCTTCATAATCAACAAGCTTTTTTATTCCTATCCTTTCAAGTATTATCAGCTTTAGTTATAAGTTGTTTAGTTGGGCTGTGAGTCAGAGTTTTAGCCTACTGTAAATACATTCCTCAGAAAAAATACATATCGTATAATATATACTGGTTTGATTCCTTGAACTTGAACTAGTGTTAGTGTCAGGGGCGTAGCTACCGTTGTATCAGCCGTACCAATGATACGGGGCCCCCAAGCTTATGGGGTACCAACATGCATAACTACAGTCCCACTAACAGGCTCTCATATCCAAAGAGGGGCCCCGAAAGAATTTTGATACAGGGCCCACTCAAAACTAGCTGCTCCAGTGATTAGTGTATCCGTTCTCTGAATACACTAACAATTCAGATGTTAACTATAATTTAAATTAACGTCAACACGTTCACTTGTTATCTTCCTCCGTGAAATCCATTCACTTAACTTTAAACATAGTTTTTTTTTTTGCATTAGTCATAGTTCCTTTGCAAAAAGAAGTTCTCAAATGGAACAATCTCCCCTTGAGGATTAGTTGAAGGATGCGAAGAGAACCCTTTACAAAATCATATTAATATTAGGTTTAAAGTTACAAAAATCTCATACGTTTGGTACAGAAACAATCAAATACAAAAAATAGAATCAAATCTCTTACAAAATTAGCTTTACCACTTAAAGCCATATCACAAAAATATAAATGCAATACCCCATTCTCAATCCTTCTTTTGGCTCAAAACGAATTCCAATCCTGAAAGAAAATCGCTTTCCCCTTATAAATTAAATCGAATATTTAAACAGAAACGACATTCTTTCCGAACCTTTCGACATAAACTTCTTTTACATCCTTCGACTCTCCCTCGAAACACTTGTTGTGAGTAAGTGAATCCTTTCGGTATTCCATTCCAATCGCCCCCTTCCCTTATCACCCCCGAGTGGGGCGCCCCGGCTCATACGGAGATTGATGCTGGTTGAAATTAAAGTTCGTCCCGTAATCGTAAAACTAGCCCCTTTCCCCTGTTCATTTGGTACGCGATTCGCCTGACTGATTGCCACCATCGTTCGCCCCGCATCTTCGTCCCCGGAGGGTTTTAATTCCCACCACCCCTTTTCGTTCCCACCCAATATAAATCTCGAACTGATATATGGTGGTCTCGCGATCCCTGGGCTGGTTAAAAGACTTGATTGCCGATTGCCAGGGCAAATAGAAACACTTGTTGTAGACATTGTGGACAAAGTGTCGCCAAACTTGTTGGCCAACGATGGGTTGAACATTATCCCACTTGGTGACAGCATAACTTTCTATTATTGGCTTGACTGTATTGGATAAAATGAACAATATATATAGAATGTAATGTATTATTCTGAGGAAATTAAAGTTACTGATTTCCCCTGTTGTCAGACGTGAAATTATGCATTTTGCTATACAAAATGGGATATTTTGCAAAAGGTTGAGGTTTAAATAGATTTTTGTGAAAGAATATATGTACAACATTGTAAATAAAGTGAATTGTATGTATATATAACATACATTATATTTGATGGAAGTTAAGTAATTGATTTCCCTTGCTGTTAGACGCGAATTTATGTAGAGTTTTATTATTAAGTAGGATATTTTGTTTATAAAATGCTGCGATATAAAATCCCGCAGTGGCATCATCGAGGGTGGGGTTTGGGGGTTTAAATCCCTCCCATAGACAAGCAGATTTTTATTTTGTAGCATAAAAACTTATAGGGCTTACATCTACATTTTTTTTAAATATAACCTCTCCCATGGAAGTAATCTCTACTCTCCGCTGAGGTCTTGAAATGTATTTAAAGAGGAACGGATATGTGCAACACTGCGAAGATTTTATTTGTCATATGGGGGAAGATATTCTGCTTTCAATCTAACATTTCCTTCAAAAATAAATATCAAACAGATATATGATCTGACGCCTCCATGATGGGTAAAGAGAACAATTTAAATTGAAAACAGAACAGCACAATAATAAACAGAATTGAAATACTAAATTAGAGACATCTTGTCGTTGTAGACAGAATGTCTCTAGAAAATCGTTTCTCAAACTGTGTATCAACCCTAGGGTGCGTGATAACTCTACAAGGGGTGGAGCGAGACTATTGAAAAGTCGAAAACAAAAGGTTATTTAAAATATTATTAATTTGCTGAAAGTAAGCAAGCAAAATACATTTTGACATAATAAGAAATGAATACGCATTTACACTGATATAATACAATTATGATAATGTCAGTACTGCATAATGTATTTTATAATTAATTTAGCAATACTAAGGTAAGAACAAGTTTAATAATTACCATTGACCCCATGGGCTTCTCATATATAAAATTGTATACAAAAATTAACACTTATCTTAATAATTTGGACCCCCACCCCCCTTGAAAAATTCCTGTGTGCGCTACTGCTTGTTCCTCATGGGATGTCGCTCCACTGAGTTAAGTTATTATGCAATATATGATCAAAAATATTATGCAATATATGATCAAATATTATACAATATATGATCAAATATTATACAATATATGATCAAATATTATGCAATATACGATCAAATATTATGCAATATATGATCAAATATTATGTAATATATGATAAAATATTTTATAATGATAATTAAAGTATACAACTGAAGGAAACGTTAGCGTTGATAAATTTTTACTTGGCAATTCATATTCACTGATGATTCTTAAATGGTTTACTTTGGCATTAAACTAACTCACCAGCCTTGATTTAAGCGAGTTTAATTAAATTACACTTATTATTCGGAAGATTTATTCACTTTTTTTTAGCTTCGAGTTTATTGAAAATTGCAGAAACAAAATTTAATTAAAGAGCGCGATACAAGAAGGAATCTGCATTTTTTTTTTGTATGAAAATTTTAAATTAAAAACTCAAGCGAAAATAAAAATATAAATAACTGAGAAAGTAATTAGTTTTAATCTCGGATGGAATTAATCATAATTAGCAAGAAAAAAAAGTAATGATTTGTTTCAAAACTGAACGTGTGACATTTTCTTAAAATATGTAATAACTTCATTTAAACATATTTGAAACTTATTTTTTAGTTTTATCCTTATATTTTTTTTAATAATTTTAATTACTTTTGAAGTTTAATTTATCGGAATTTATTAAAGATTGCTTGAACTTTCGTTTCTTTTATTTGTAACTGGTTTAATTGATTCGTGAGAGTTTACTTACATACGAACTTTAAAATGCATTCCTCTCCTTTTTTGTTTGCTTATCTCTTAATATTATTTCAGATTAAATATTTTTTTTTATAAGTCAATTGAATATTTCCATTTTTCTTTTAATAAACCGCTCCTAATTCTAGTATATTGTATGTTAAAGTTTTAAATTGCTATGTTTAATTTCTTATCTGAATGGAGAAAAAAATTATTGTGTTCTCTGATATGTCTTCCAGTTACTTTAATCTTAAAATATTGATAAGAATATAATAAATCCACTACCTTCTTATTTAGAGAATCACAGGTTCAAGTCTCTGTCTCATCAAGAACTGCGATCGCGGTATCTCAGTGATCACGGTCACGAGCCCGTGGCTGGCGTATCTTGGGTTCGAACCCTAGTGCCACTGAAGACCTATCGTATAGAGGGGCTGAGGTTTGTTAAGGTGTCCGACTACGTTCGGAACCATGATTTTAAAAAGCGCATAAATGGATAATTTTCATGATATTTAGTGTCACTTAGATCAGATTACATGTATAAAATTGTTTTAAGGACATTATGACAAAAAAAAATTATTTAAATACAATATTTCGGCAAAAAATTAACTTAGAATAACCTTTTTTCCAAACGTTCTCTTTTTGTGAAAAATGCTTCTATTATAATAATGTTTTGCCTGCATATAGCTCAGACCTCTCTACAGAGGCTCAACTATGATGTTTGAAAAATTCACATTATTTTCAGAGTTACAACCCATTAAAATAATTATCGGCATTTTTTTTCTTAAAATTCTCCCCTCTGTTATTGTAAAACATGGATAAACCCACTTTTAAGTTATATATTTCAAACATTCTAGTTGGGCCTCTGTACAGAAGTCTGAGCTATATACAGGCAAAATATTATTATAATTGAAGAATTTTTCACAAAAGGAGAATATTTTGAAAATGGGTCATTCTATGTTCATCTTTTG